GTGAAAATATCGCGCGAAAGAAAAGAGTTTTTCATAAAAGGCCATACTTTTGTTTATTCAGTCTGTTTCGATATTGGCGGTTCTGACAAATGAGCAGGCCTTTGAGGAGAAATGGATTGGTGCAAAATTCCAGATCTACATCTCAAATATTGACGGTTAAATGCGTATATATAGTGAGAACGGTAGACATAGAGACGGATATGACCAAATCAAGTCAGCTCGTCGCGTTGTTCACTAATGCTTGTATAATCCTGAGATCCCTACAGAGCTAAATTTTTTCTTTAAATACATGTAYAATGTACAATGTCCAATTATATTATTAATTGTTGGCCTCTCTCATGGTTAGATCTTCATCGATTACTGAAAATAGAAAAGGGAATAAAAAGCCCTCGAAATGAACTTCTGCAATCCTGTCGAAATGCCTGYTGACTTCTATGTATAATAGCTAAGTTCTAAGTACAATATGCGAGAAGATCGTAAATTTTCACAGAAAAGTGAAAAAAAAAAATATACATGTAATGAAACAGTAAGATTGTGCGATTTGCGTTGTGTAGTGCACTATGAGTTCCTTCATCACGATGATCATCGCGTCATACTGCATTTATTCTTCCCGCATTTTTTGGATATGATGTGTAAATAATTACTATGTATAATTTACTTTACTATACTGCAATGTACTGTAATATACTGTACCATATGTCTTAAAATTAAATTTCAAATAATCCTTAAATTGGGTTTCCCAAAACCAACGCATATAAAATRTATTAAATTTTTATTACTCCGCCTAAATGATGTAAGTTCTGCTTATTCATGCGTAAATGAAACAATAAAACCATTGCCGGGGAAATCCAACTTGCAACGCACAGAATTTACGCACTGCAATAAAAATAACAAAGGAATGGAAAAACATATAAACTAGTAAACACATAGGTATTTACATAAATATTGATATCATAACTTTTATTTGACTGCAACAAGGACACCAAGTTATAGGTAATGACAGCATCATGCATTCACAAGCGTTTAAAATGAAAACCAGTTGAGTAAAAATGGAATTTCCGGTGTTGGTGTTTCCACATACCTCCAATTACAGAGCTGTTAAATGTAACATTGACGTTGAAATGCTGTAAAGCTCCAATAATAATAAAAATTGCTTTGCTTAACTAACCGCTTAAAGTGATATGTATTTAGTGTGAGAAAACAACAAAAGATACTAAAAAAGTGTACACCGGGTACAAATATTTCACAATATTTACTCTAGATTAATTTAGTCTTAAATATGATTTGACAGATTTGTATTATAGTTAATTGAAAAAATTCTTATTTGATGGTTTAATGTGCTGTTTAGAGCACGTTTCAAATTAAACTCGATATCGTTGGTGTGTCTAAAGATGATATATATTAAAGTTATAGAATATTCTTTGGCTCTGTGAGAAGGTTGGTGTTGTATTTRTGTAGAATAAGACTGTTGCAATCTCTACCCACTGTGGTTACTACTAAAAAATAAGGTGRCATTTGAATTTAAACTGCGCGCGTCGAAGGATTTGGAGAATTATTTTTTTTTTAGGTTATTAATACTGTCAGTCATATTTATGTCAAATTTCATGTCAAAATATTCATTAGTGTTTGAGATACGTGTCRTTTTGTGAGCTGCTAAAAGTGAGTTTTTCGTAGTTTGCGATGTCGAAATTTGTTGAGCAAAGAATTTGCATTAAATTTTGTTTACAGAATCAATTTTCTGCTACGGATACATTGAGGATGGTGCAGAAAGCCTTTGATAATGAGGCTATGTCTAAAAAAAATTTTTTACAATTGGTATAGTGAGTTCCAAGCCGGCCGTGAACGTGTCGAAGACGAAGAGCATCCAGGGCGACCATCAACCTCAACCGACGAAGTGCACGTTCAACAAATCAAAGWTTTGGTGTTGAAATACCGTCTATTAACAATTAGAGACCTTGCTAATGAAATTGGCACATCGAAAGCCTCAGCCAATACCATTTTGAAGGATGTTTTGGGCCTCAAGTGCGTGAAATCTCGACTGGTACCGAAAACATTGAATGAAAATGAAAAATGGCGTCGCGTTGAAGTGCGTGAAACGATGCCCGATGATCAATCGAGCGAATATCGTGCCAAAAGAGAGCCGAGACCAAAAAAATCGCGCCAAAGTCGCAAAGTGCTGATGAAGTTGGCATATCGAAAGCCTCAGCCAATACCTATCATTTTGAAGGATGTTTTGGGATGTGCGTGCAATCTCGACTGGTACCGAAAACATTGAATGAAAATGAAAAATGGCGTCGCGTTGAAGTGCGTGAAACGATGCCCGATGATCAATCGAGCGAATATCGTGCCAAAAGAGAGCCGAGAYCAAAAAAATYGCGCSAAAGTCGCTCAAAAATCAAGGTCATGTTGACTGTTTTCTTCGATTATCGTGGTGTTGTGCATTATGAATTCCTTCCAACCGGTCAAACAGTCAACAAGGAATATTATTTGAAAGTTATGCGTAACGCTATCCGTCTAAGAAGGCCGGAATTGTGGAAAGACAATTCTTGGCTTTTACACCACGATAATGCACCATCCCACACTGCCCTACTTCGTGATCATTTCGCCAAAAACTCAACCCATATAATTCCGCAACCACCGTATTCACCTGATCTGGCTGTTCACCAAGCTCAAAAGACCGCTCCGGGGACACCGTTTTTATACGATAGAGGAGATTCAAGCCGCAGCGAAGACGGAACTGAAGGCAATGTCACTTTATTTTTTGGGCACAGTATTTTAGAACTCAAATTTACACCTCATCACYGGTCTTAATATTTCGCGTTTTGACCTACAAGTAGAGCCATTGATAATTGCYGCGAAAACAAACACAAAACACAAAGTAAAACAGTAAATATGGTATGAAAACAAAAAACTGCTATGTAACTAACTAAGTATGCAAATATGTATTTATGTGAGTTTATTGCATTTTTGCTACAATATGATGATGTATTTATGCCAAATACCGAACCAACTAAGTTTTTTATGCCCTCTCCTTCGTAACATTGCGAAGACCGTGTAAAATACCAACCGTGCGACTTTTATAGTATTTACTAAATATAAATATGTACACGAATAYATACACACATACATTTGAGCGTAAATCTTTACATAGTCAAAATCATGGATGCCCATAGTGCCAATGACGCTTACGATTTACGCTATTCACCGCTTGTGTGTTTTCTTATATTTACTAATTCTTTGCAAAAACAATTTCCAAACCTTTGATTTTATGRTTTTTAATTTTTTTATCTTCAAGCAAAAAAGTGCGATTTTCTGTTATGACGGAATAAATATGCAAGTATGTATGTATGTGGTTGTGCATACATTATTTGGACGCGTATCTGAGACGTAAGGTCACTTAGCCAGCGAATATGTAAAAACCGAAATTGTTTTTGTATTTGAATGATACGGTTTAAGTTTGTGTATGCAAGCCTTTGACAGAAGCATCTAGACTAAAATTAAAATTATTAGAAATTGTTTTATCCAAAAATATATTGACATGTAAAACAAACTTTATTTGCTAACATTTCACAATCAATAGATTTATATTTATTGACTTTTAATATACTTCAAATGAACTTTAATTTAAAAATGTTTAATTTTAAATTTTAATTTGTCAATATTTATTATTTTTTCCTTGCATTTGCAGATGCTGAATCTTTGTTACGTTTATTACCTCTCGAAATTGACTGAATTTGCTGACACATTCTTCTTTGTGCTGCGGAAAAAATCGTCACAAATAACATGGTTGCATGTGTACCATCACTCGGTAACGCCATTGGAAACCTGGGTGCTCGTAAAGTTCTTGGCTGGTAAGTATTTTAGACTTAAGAAATTAAAAATACATGATTTGTGATTTTTAATATGTAAATTTTGGAAGATTTTTCGAAACTTTAATTTTTTTTAACAAAATAATGCTACCAGATTATAATTCCACAGTTTAGATTTTATTCAAATAGTTTAAGACATTAAGGGCTAGATACATTTATTATATTGATGTATTATTTAAGGCCATGAAAAAGCATCAAAGAACACTCCGATGCCTCAGAATCAGTCAATGGTCATTAGTTTCATTGAATTCTCTATCGCAGATTTCTTTTCGCCGTCATACACCTTCCGATGATGTCTACTAGCAATATCTGCAAAATGGCGTTAAATGTCATGTTTGGAGTGGACCCTACCCAGATATATAGAAAATAATAAGATTTTGCACTGAATCCAATTGTCTATTGTGTCCTCTCCTAAACACTCTCTGGCAAAAACCACAAAAAAATAAATAAAATTAAATTAAAATAAACCCCAATTTCCGAGAATGCTCTTAACATCCTTGCGACAGAAACATCGTAGTTGTTAGAACGATGCTTTCCCAACAAGCCTTCTATTACTTCTTCGATTGCCTGCCATGCATTCAATATATATCAATCAAAATATTGTTGAATGCGTCACTTTTAACCAGCTTTCGTATATCTGGACCATTTAGTACGCCTGATTGGAAAAAATTAATTTGTTAACATGGAAAACCATGGGAAATAAGGAAAAAATTGAAAGGGTCATGAAAAAAACGATCGCCAAGCCCTTTGAGGGTTTTACTATGTAAAGATATACATACATATAATAATATTTTATTATTTTAAATTCTTTTTTAGCTATATACATTAATTCTTTGTTTATTTCTTTTTTGTGAAATTTCCACAGGTGGCAATGCAACATTCCCCAATCTGTTAAACAATTTCGTGCACGTCTGCATGTATTTCTACTATATGATGTCCGCCATGGGACCAGAATACGCCAAGTTTCTGTGGTGGAAGAAGTATATGACTGAGTTGCAAATTGTAAGTATTGTACCTNGATGCTTTCCCAACAAGCCTTCTATTACTTCTTCGATTGCCTGCCATGCATTCAATATATATCAATCAAAATATTGTTGAATGCGTCACTTTTAATCACCTTTCGTATATCTGGACCATTTAGTACGCCTGATTGGAAAAAATTAATTTGTTAACATGGAAAACCATGGGAAATAAGGAAAAAATTGAAAGGGTCATGAAAAAAACGATCGCCAAGCCCTTTGAGGGTTTTACTATGTAAAGATATACATACATATAATAATATTTTATTATTTTAAATTCTTTTTTAGCTATATACATTAATTCTTTGTTTATTTCTTTTTTGTGAAATTTCCACAGGTGGCAATGCAACATTCCCCAATCTGTTAAACAATTTCGTGCACGTCTGCATGTATTTCTACTATATGATGTCCGCCATGGGACCAGAATACGCCAAGTTTCTGTGGTGGAAGAAGTATATGACTGAGTTGCAAATTGTAAGTATTGTACCTMTACATACATATTTAGCTAAACACTAAGCAAACAGAAAACATTTAAGCACAAAAAATATTTTGTACACAATTAATTGTGTCCTCGTCTTTAGACAAGAAAAAAATATAAGAAGTACAAAACTGTATGCCGAAAACTAGAAAAGTTACTAAATAAAATAACAAATACAAAAGCTAGTTACAGCTGCAGAACCACAACATGTGCAGCTAACTAGAATTATTGCCAAATTTCGGCCAAGTGACCACATGCAAAGGCAACCGAAAACGAGCTACACGTAGCAATACCTGAATATAAATAACATGCAGAGAATATTATTTTGAATAAATAAGCTTAATTTGTAATTGAAAAAACCTGTTGGAAAATTCTGCATGCCGCAACGTAAACGCGCATTGGTTCGTGGTAATAAGTTAATGTTAAAAACAAAGAAATAAAGTCAGCCGGAAAGGCTTGGGTAATTCTTGTTTACTAACGAGTAAATATTTGCACACAAAATATGAGCAAAAGACCAAAAGTGGCAACACGTTTCATTTAAATAACAAGTAGTACGTGTGCTCATCATCTCTAAGAAAAACAGATTTCATTGTAAAGCAACACTCCTTTGAAGGTTTTACTTCAGTTTGAGCGGTAATATGAAAAATAATTAATTGCCTCAAAATTACACAGAAGTAAATAAAGTTTTCCAAACGGGGGAAAGATTTAAACCCCAAATTTATTACACAATATGTTTCGATATGCTTCAAAATTWTTTAATMAAACTGRATTGTRGACGCTGTGGAARAATAMATTGTTTTCTTTAATCCATTGCCTTATTTTACCAAACAAAAGTTTCTTGTTGTTCTAATGAATCRCGATGCTAACCTGTTTAGATAGCATTAAAAGCGAACAATTTTCTCCCAGTRAATTACTATATACAAGAACATGTCTTAGATTAGGATAGGTTAGATTATAAGCTCGATCCTAGCTATCTCACATAGAGAGCTTAGATCCTTACAAATCCCCAAACCGCTTYGAGAAGCTATTCTTGTTGAAATTTGTTTTGAGGGACTCATACAGGCTACTTTTGTTAAGTGTCGGTTCTTTGCCATATAAAAATTTATGACAGTTTACCCATAGTTGGACCAAAGAGATTGGTTTATGTGATTTTTGGAGCGATTATATATGTATATGGACTACCCATGTACCATTTTGGTCGACTATTTTTTTGCCATTTTTCCATTAGGGACATTATTCCATCAGTGCAAAACTTTTCTGGTTTTTAGACGAAAAACTGCGGCAAGTAATTTTCATAGGCTTCTCTTGAAGCCAACTTTACTCCATTAAGGGAGTTCTGCTTTGACCGAAGCAAAAGGTAGTCCGATGAGGCAAGGTCACGGCTATATGGTGGATGCATCAAAACTTACCGGCCAAGCTCTCCCAACATTTTACCGAGTCATCAAAGATGTGTGTAGTCTAGCGTTGTCTTGATGGAAGACGAAGCCTTTTATTGCTTTAATCCCATCAGCTGTTGACAGTAAAATGTAGAATCAATCGTTCG